GAGATCGAAACTGGATATTATATGTGAGACATGTCACCACGAGGCGTCGCACCAAACGCATCATTACGTGACATTTAAACGTTTGTCTGTTGATGACACCAACTACAGCCTGAGTGTCACACCAAAATATCATGCGCTTATTATGCAGCTGGACAGCCCACTGCTTGACCGCTAGCACAATAGGTACTAACTCCAAGCAGGCAATAGAAAGGGACTGACTTTTTACATGCTTGGGCCACTTCCCTTGACACCAGTGCGCAGCAAAGTAAGCCCCAAAGCCAATTTCAGCAGAAGCATCAGTGTACATGTGCAGTTGGTCACTATTGTACCATACCGAATCCTGAAACATTATCGTTCCGCTGAAATGTGACAAAAACTGCTGCCACGCCAGCAAGTCTGCTCGTGCACCTGAAGTGATGCGAATTTTGTAATGAAGTTTGGAGATACCCCTAGCCAGATCATGCAAACGACGGAGAAAGGCCCTGCCAGGTCTTACCGCCTTACAAACAAAATTAAGACGACCTAGCAGGGACTGAAGATTGCACAGTGTTATTTTCTTCTGATCGAGCACACTAACAATCGTATTTTTTAAAGCAGTTTGCTTATCAGTCGGGATTTGAATCTGTCGAGCAACCGATCGTGAGGCTTGTGGCTGGACTTTCGCTTTTTTTCTTCCGCAATTGGTACTCCAAATCGCTGACAAACTAAACAAAGCAAGTTCACGATCAATTTTAGACTGCAGAATGGTGGGATGTTTGCGAGCAAATTCCGAATTACGAGCAGAGGTACTGACCCTGGGACCTGAATAGCCTACCCCGAAACCATGAAAAAACCTTCTTTCAAAATGTGGGAGTCCAGAGTATTAGGGTAAACGTGCAAAAAGGGAGCATACTACTTAGTTTTACCGGGGTTGGTGCCAGCTGCCGAGACTGTGAGTTTCCCTGACAACGGGTTGCAGGGTAGCCTAATGCCTTGCAGGTGGAGCAGCGATACGCGTAGCAACACATGGGGCGATTGCATTGACCGCGGTTGAAGTCGTTACAACTCCTGCGACTGGGCGCCGACCAGGACCGAAATCGGACCAGGGCTTGGCGGCAGTGGATGGGGCACGCTCGCGTTGCTGGTACGGACGAACATGTTGCTGGTGCGAAACGCGCCCACCAAGCAGCATCAGCCAGGGTTCTGCATCAATAGTTGCCCAAGAGCGCGACGGCACACACACCTGTCGCAGCCGAAACTGGATGTCGTACTTGCGCCAACCATACCCCACTTGTCGAAATGCCGCAGGTCGAATAGTGTCTGCGTACTTCAGTAACGAACGAGCATGGGTAGGATGTCGCAACAAATACACAGATGCAAAAACTAGAAACGCCGACGTCCACTGCTCGATAGACGTGATACGCGGAGCCTGCTTATAGACGTCCATGAAAAACAACACCAAAGCTACATTGTGACATGGCCACCTACTCCAGTCGTGCAAAATGGTGCATATCAGATCTTTTTCATTCATTGTTACTTTCAGTTTTGGGGTTTTAGTTAATTAATTAATTTATTTAATAAATTATTGGTGGTTAGAATTGTCGTTGTTGATATGTTCTCCGAAGTGCAATTATTTATGTTTCACAAATGGAACCCAGACCCCGTGTGGGTGGGCTTCTTACACCCCTTTCACTATCTGCCACTTTGGCCAGTTTCGGAAATCCGTGTACAATTTCATGAAATGAGAGTCCCACCATCTGGCTAGCTTTTAGATGAAAAATATATGTTGAAAAATTATCATTTCCCTGAATACTGCTGGCAACTAGGCCTTAGGCCTAAGGGGAAGCTTGCTCATTGAAAGCCAAGATTTCAAGTTAATCTATATATACGAACTATTGAATTTAATTTTTGAAAGAGCTATAGGTTCATAATATTGTTCAAAATGATCACCAATTTCTTTTTACTTACAATAAACCTGCAAAATGATTATTTGGCCAAGCAAATGCCATTGTTTCACGTCTGTCTTTATAAATCTTTACCATGGTGTATTGTATAATTGTAGACGTTTGTTGATATTATTGTGTGTCACAATCTTCAGGTTTTCCGTTTTTGACGAAGAGTATCATTCTCGAGGATCAAGGGAGGTTAAACTTTAAGTGCCAGTATTAATGTGAAACTTCTGTGAATGCCTTATGTCTAGAGTAATATGTAAAATTAATAGCGATCCAGGGCAGCAGCGATTGTAAAGAGCAGCAGCATGATAAAAGGCAGGCAGTTAAGTATGGCGAGGGTTCTAAAACTATAAAGCGGTGCCCATTTCTGTCCAATTTGCGATGTTCCACGTAATGTTATAGATATCAGGTCTAGCCTCCTGAATAAAGCATTCAAAGAGACGTGTGGTACCCGACTGCACAACCACCGGACCATATCTGGGGTCATCGAGGAGCGCACCGGTCGATGGGTCAGAGACACGCACCATAGGAATAGGAATAGGAATAACTGAATTCAAGAGCCAAAATAGTTTCCATTTTATGCGTTGCATAATAACAGATTCAGTGGGCGTTTTGTGATTTGGAAATAGCGTTAGAAGGGATAAAACTAGTGTCGTAAATCTGTGTTGGAAATATAGGGGGGGGGGAGAAAGGTGGGGGGTTGACCTGCCGGGTCACTATAAAGGGGGCAATGCTCATGATAAAGATGTACATCTGTGATGTGTATCAAATTCATGCAGAATCTTACATCAAAATGGTACACATGTATTTATGACTTATAAAAATTGCTTTCCCTTTTTAGTAATATTGCAAAGAGTCTACCCTTTGGGAAATCCTGAAATTTCTTCAAAATCCGTTCAACTTTTTTTTAGCTCATAACAAAAAGGGTGGGTGAAGCAGTGTGGGGGTGATTCAATCACCCATTCCCCACCTAAAGCGTGGGGGTATATATTTTCTCCCGTTCCCCAGGGATTTACGCCCATGGTGAAAACTAGCGACTCAATAATTGGTGCTTGCTTAAAGTTTGCACATAACACAAAGGAAGCAACATTATTGGTTTAAATTAATGTATGTTTGTATGTAGAAGCATGTTCACGGTTATAACTCACTTGTTAATAGATAAGCACTGCTGGAACAATCGACTCCTTTTACTACTACGTGGCAAGTATAAAGGCCTTTGGACAACAAGTCGACATCAATGACGGTATGATTGCAAGTAGAAGGTACAGAACTGTGATTGTAAAGGCAGGAGCTCCCGCCTATCAAATTCTTCCCCGCGTGCTGCCATCGTATTCTTGTACCACTCAATTCCTCGTTACCCACTACCTCACAGGTTAGGGTCACATTGTCACCGATGCGGGCAAAGATATCCGGACCTTGCGTGATCCCAATGGTTGCATCACAGCTGTTCACCTCACCTTCAGAAAAAAATACTTCACTATTAGGAAGCTATGCAAAAACCCAACTCTGTGATAATCGAGCTTAGTGGCCAGCCAAACATATAATATGGGTTGCTGCTTTTTTGCGCACATTGGCCTACCCGCATGGCGAAAACAAATTCCTAAGCATTACAAGAGATTTATTATTTTTTTTAATGTACCTTTCTGTTTAATCGAACTACAAACACCAGTGCCTGTAGTTAACATCTCTAACAGTTGTAACAAAAAAATACAACGCGAATTTGTGACATTGCATATAATATTTGCGTTGCGAATACATTACAACTGAACATTCAACTCTAGCGAAATTTCGCTGCAATTTTTTCTTGACGTTAAATTCACTTCACTTTGGCATTTGCCTGAGGTATGAACTGGCTTTAATACATGTTTTTACTCTGTCAGGAAATCGTTTATTAAACTGTGTTTTATTCTACCAGTGATTGGTGGCAACCCGCTGACATACTAATGCTCGCAATAGTCAATATTTTCGCGCTGAAATATATTTCTACATGTGCAAAAATTGTGTTGCTCATCTAATACATCAAGGGAATGTTATTTCCAGTCTTACCTCTCACTAACGGCAAAGCCAGCGCAGTCAAAGCAAAAATGCTGAAGATCCTCATGTCTCCTTCAAACAAGTTCGAAACTGGCATTATGGCTGCTAGTCAGCCTGCTGTTGGAATTATCTATTTCCAATATTGCATTTACTCATATCGATTTTGTCATATGAAAATTGTGCAGGTCATGGCCAAAAAAAAAAAGTGAGTAAATTTCCTGGTTTCACTTCCCGCATTAAAAAAATATTGAAAACTTTTGAAAACACTTCGGTACAAGTTTCCGGAAGCACCGTTTGTGAGCAAGAAGTAATCATATCTGAGCCAGGAACTTCTTGTACGGATCCAAGCTGAAAGTGCGTAAATAAGCAAGACGGCATCAGAAATGTTTCTCACTTATGACGTTGTGTACACATGAATGCTGTCGCGGCCTGGACTGCATGGTGCTTTGATCAGTCCTTGGATTAATTATCTTTACCTCTGAAAAAAGTTCATGACAATATAAGGAACCATTGTAATATTTTTAAAGTGAATTATTCATTTACGTTGGTAACATTTACTTTACGAGTAGCATCTCCCAGGATGTGTTAATACGTTTTCAGCACTGCATGTACCCCATGAACTTGAATTTGTAAAAACACCACCTCTCCAAGAAATTCAAAATTACAGTGTAAAACGTCATTTGCATTTGTTTGAGCGACCTTTACGACATTCTGTTTTAGTAACCCATGCCTACTTAACACCAATGAACGAGTCTGCACCCATTTTGTTGAGTAATACTCGACCCCACAAGTGTGATTTTGATGCTCCTTCACACTTACAGGGCGCATTTCAACAGCGGTTGCAAGCGAGGTCATGCGCATAGGTGTGGACAGTGAGCTAAATATTGTTCTGGTGTACACCGTCATTCTACGGAATAAAGTTCAATGATAAAGCCGTCATGCAGAACATGGTGCAGAATGAGTAAAGCAGTACGCAGGTATAATGCCACTGAAGTAATAGGTGTGCAGATGAATATGTTGACGAACTACGACCTTTGCACCAGTATGTCACGTGATTCGGAGGCTCGTTTAAAGGTGCACACCGCACTAGCCTCCCAGCTTACATTGTCTATTTCGAAGATCAGATTGAAAAAGGAACCAAAATAGCATATTTTGTTGACAGTTCAATAAAAAGAGTCCGTTGGAGACACCTTCAGTGAAAGGATAACCCCCACATAATGGGTATTCTCTCGGCGCAGGTTCGTTGCGTGCATTTGCACCACGGTGAGTGTTAAATGCTTGCTGAACGTATTTTTCTCCAATCACATAAACGTTGTGGGCACGTTAACGGACGGACTGATTGTGTGCCAATGTTGAGCTTGAAAGACGCATGCATGGTTGAATACATTAATTGTTGGAACCGGTTATGCGTCTGTGCTCATGGACAATTTAACACATAATATAGCTGTCTGCGGCTGCACACATAATGAACAGCCATTTTGGTTCCAAGGTCCGAAGTTTTCGGTCTCCCTCGTGATACTATGGTATGCCACGCCTTGTGATCCCTACTCATGCAACATGCATGTTCAATTTCGTGGACTTCCTGCTTATTACCCTATACCAGACCATGCATTGCGAATGATAATTTATAGTATGTGGTCCGGGGAAAGAAGTCTTCAGTCAGGTTGGGACGGATGGTTTGAATTCCGGACGCGAAAGCCGCACAGCACAGTTGGCCGGAAGTCCCACTTCCACCGACGCATGGGAGACAGCTTAAACTACTGTCGTTAAAACCAATTAAACAAACTATGGATATGGTTTTTAGCCCATTCTTCCTTTAAAGACCCCAAAGCGACGGGGACACTCGTTTGTGTTTGAACTTACTGCTTGGAAATACCATGTTTCCTACCTTAATGGTACGTACGTCTAGTGCTCAAGCCCCTCCATTTTCTCTAACATTCAAAATGTCTTCCCACGAGTATCACACAGACTCGCCAACTAGGTTAACAATGTATTTAATTTGATATATTTCCACTGTTTCTGAGCAAACATATTTTATTATCCTAAAGGGCACATAATTCAGGGTGGCATGGTGTGCACCTTTAAAGGGAAAGTACAGCTCCATTGATCTAAACTGGAATTCCCAGAAATGCACTGAGTTTTCTCTACGCCATGACTGGAGTTGCCTTAACTGTTTGTTGCATGACTGCTATCGTGTGATGAAACGTAAGTTTTTAACATAGTTTTTAACATACTGTTACACACATTCAGTGATAAAGCTAAATAGTGTTATCAACTTGACAGTTGGACCACAATAATGTTGCACGGACTTCAAAAAATATACAATATAAATGTACTATCTTCCACTGTAGGTTACACTGAAGTGTTGAAGGGCCACGACCATTTTTATTTGATATTTGACGTTGTGAGAGTGGCAAGCAATTCGGTAGCGCCATCTGAAATGTCACTCAGTTTTTTGTTCACGTGTCGATTTTTTGCTCTAAAACAGGCCTACATAGCTCGGCATGTGTAACTCAGACAAACGTACAAGCAAATCTAGCTGGTTAAACTCAACTGCGCTGTGTGGATTAGTTCCTGACCTTTCGTATTCAGAACTTCGTCGATCAGGCGGTCAGAAAATATTACCACGTTAGCACTATTTTGAAGATACATTTTCTGTTCACACACATCACCTACAGTTCTGGGAGTTTGCTTTTAAGTTTAGACCGTCCGAGCACATACACTGAGTTTCAATTTAATTTTTTGTGAATTTGGTGTAGGCCTATGTGAGGTCTTCAACTCAAATTTATGTC